CGTACTTGGTTGACCTGGTGCTCCTTCTGACCGTAGTGGTGTCGAGTGGCACACTGGCCTTGCGCGAACTGGTGACCGCAAAGAGGGACGAAGAGGCAAGCGTCTGGAGAGCAATTCCATGAGCAGGCACAGTATCCACTGACTGAGATTCAGGATTAGAAAACAAATTCGCCGTGATGGCCTTAAGTCCAGGGGATCGAGCAGCCAATATCCACTCCTCATCGAGCACATTAGCTATGCCAGGCACGTCCTCATGCAGCAAGTTGCATGGAATAATGCTGGCACCCATCTGAAAGTTAACGCCAAAGAGCACAGAGAGGAAATCCGGTTCAGGCAGCATATTGGACAACCACACAGCGCAGACAGAGCTCAGGTTGTTTTGAATGACCCTGAAGGGGTTGAGAGGGAGCATGACAGTCTCCTGTGCATGCCCGCCACCCATTCTCCTGAAGCTGTTCTTGCTCATGTGCAGGGGGATTCCAAGCAGCTTCATTCAGCGCCTCCTGTGCAGCCATCTCATCGATCCTGGCCTGCTGCATAACAGTATAGAACGGGAGCTCATACGGATGCAGGGATGCATTAAGGAGGGGAGGAGCTTCCTCAGTGCCAACCAAACCAGGGATGGTGTTTCTGCCATTAAGCACATAGACTGGGACTGACCAAGAACGGCCAAGTCCAGGCAGCAGACCCACTCGAGTAACCAACAGGCTGTGTGGAACTTCAGCAACATCTTTAATATGACATTTAACAAGAACACGGGCTTTATTCTGTCCGGGGCGCGGCCAGACCAGTAATTTGCCAAAGTTAGAAACAGCCTTATGAATGTAATGCTCAGTCTGATAATCCATAGGGAAAACAAGAAGCATGATCCAGACTTCATATTCAAAGGCAGGCATGCGCATATTAAGACCTTCATCATGCAGAACTAAAGAGAAGGTGGAATCATCAGTCAGGGCATGCGGCCCCTCTCTAATCTGCATCTCTGCTCTCCATATCCGCAAAAAACACATACCCGATACCAAGCGGATAAATGAAATCATCAAGTAACTCAATACTCCAGATCAGCAACGATACTGCGGCAAACTTCAGCCAGCCAAAACTCCTTCTAATGATCAGGAACGGGGGGATCGACGGAGACGATGGCATACCTATCATGGTTGAGCGGAGGATCATCCACCACCATGACATGGCGCTGAACGCGGTGAGTTGGGCCTCTGTCGAAGGTCGATCCCACCGGAGGAAAGTCGAATGGGCGCACCGGGAAGTTCAACATAGCAGCAGTCCGTCGGCAAAGATCAGGGGCAGGATCCACCGGCGGCGAGGAGTCGATGGTGGTTTTTGGTGGAGGTGGCAATGGTGGCGTGCTCGAGGGAGGCGCCTCTGCAGTCGATTGGTGATTCTGGCAGGCGGAATTGACTACACGAGGCGGAGGGAGTCGTATCAACAAGCAATGGGAGGAGGCCACGTTCGATGGGCGTGAGATATTCTGTTTCCGAACCCAAACCTTGTGTACCTGCGTATCCCGAATAGTACGGGCCATATCAACATCCGCAGGATTATCTGCCATAGAAGATAGCGGAATTTTCCTAGCTAGGATCTCATCAGAAGCAGTTGCATGCAATCTAATATGTGTCCAACGCACTTTAGGCAACCGGCAGCAAAGGTTGGGCCTATGGGCCCTATGGCCTAGGTGATGACAAAGAGGGCATCGACGAAGCCCAGGGCAGTTGGTGGTCCGGTGTCCAGCAGATGAGCAGCCCAAGCACGTCAATGTCGGTGTAGAGGCGGCCCATTATGCATGGCTCATGACGTGACCGGAACGGATCAGCTGGCTGTAGTGAATCAGAAGAACAACACAAACAATTTCCGGACTCATCCCCACACCTTTGACAAAAGATACCAGTGCAAATTGAAGGTGAATGACCAAACCTATCACAACGAGAGAGTGCTTAAGCCGTTCATAAATATATTCCTTAGTAGGTATACTAGAGACATCCACCATTAACTTGACAGAATCGTCATCATATCCAGCTTGCCAACCATCAAGAATATGAAAAAGTGTTTCATCAGGAATATCATCCCACAAACCTTGGAAGAATCGATGCCCACGGAAGGATGTCAGCGTGACATGAGATCCGGTCAGATTCGGTATATTGATGCCCACAATACGGAAAGGATAAGGCTGTTCCTGAGAATCCGGCCCCGGTAAACTTCCAAGAGAAATCTCCGGTGGGGGGTCGGCGCCAGAATGTGTCGCCGTCGGCGAGGGGAACAGCCCAATTTATGAAAAAACATGAGCGATGAAGGATCAATACCATCTTTGGATGAAAGCCAATTGGATTTAATTGCCGGACCAGGCGAAGATGCCAGTCCCTTGAGCTCAGTATCCGCATGCCAACCAACAATCGAAGGCCTACAATGTGCACCTCGGTGAAGATGGAAATGACATATGAAGTCCGGCCAGATGCGATCTCGTAGGCCAAAAATAAAATGTCCCACTCGATTGGAAGCCACCGAGAACCGAAAACGACGATCACCCAGCCGTAACACATTGAAACCATCACTGAGGCCTCCAATACAGGATTGTAAGGCCAATCCCACTGATTCAACCGAGAGAGGAAATGAAGCCGAGGAGAAAGAAACTTCAAGGAAGAACTCCTTGGAGTTAGGGTTGGGGACGAAATGGACCGTAGATCCAAAAACGTTTACGCACCTGATCCTCGACCCTGAGGCCGGGGGAGAAATCCCAATGGAGGAGGCCGTCCATTGGGGGCGTCGGGAGGGGCAACTAGGGCCGAAGGCCGAAGTCGCCATGGGGAGGTGGGGAGGTGGGAGTCGCCATCGGTATAGCGATCGTTAGCAGAGACCACCTGGGTATTCCCTTGTATGTCTGTCCTTATCTTCTTGACTCCATAATATGAGTTACTACCTCTACAGGATTATGATCTCCACATATACTCTACATCTTGATGATCTAACCACCCATTACTTATTGTAGACCAGGTAAGAAATTACTTATAAGTCGTGGGCTTGGTCTGTTTCATGAATTCAACTTTACAAATTTGTGGAGATTATTTCACTCCCTGTTTATCAAAAAGTCCTAGACTTTGTTATTTGAAATCTATCATAAGGTGATGAGCAATGACCAGTACTTGATCAGTAATCTCACCTTTTAGAGTTTGTTGTTTACAGTTCATGCTATCAAAACCCATAAGATCAACAACAACAAAGCCTTTAGTCCCAAACAAGTTGGGGTAGGCTAGAGGTGAAACCCATAAGATCTCGCAACCAACTCATGGTTCTGACACATGGATAGCAAGCTTCCATGCACCCCTGTCAATGGCTAGTTCTCTGGTGATACTCTAGTCCTTCAGATCCCTCTTTACGGACTCCTCCCATGTCAAGTTCGGTCTACCCCAACCTTTCTTGACATTATCGGCACGCTTTAGCCGTCCGCTATGAACTGGCGCTTCTCGGGCCTGCGCTGAATATGCCCAAACCATCTCAGACGATGTTGGACAAACTTCTCTTCAATCGGCAGTACCCAACTCTATCTCGTATATCATCATTCCTTGGTCCTTGTGTGGCCACACATCCATCTCAACATGGGCATCTCCGCCACACCTAACTGTTGAACATGTCGCCGTTTAGTCGACCAACACTCAGCACCATACAACATTGCGGATCGAACCGTCGTCCCATAGAACTTGCCTTTTAGCTTTTGTGGCACTCGCTTGTCACAAAGAATGCCAGAAGCTTGGCGCCACTTCATCCATCCGGCTTTGATTCGATTATTCACATCTTCATCAATATCCCCATCCTTCTACAGCATAGACTCCAAATATCTAAAGGTGTTCTTCTGAGGCACCACCTGCCCATCAAGACTAACCTCCTTCTCAACCAGCTCACTAGGATAAAACAATTTGATGCACTTGAGAGGTACTCCCTCCTTTCAAATATGGAAGGACTCCTCACATTTTGAGCCTAACTTTGACTAACAACCATGAGTTATATGCCACAAAAAGTATACCATTGGATTTGGATTCGAAAGAAGTTTCCAACAGTATAACTTTTATGGCATAAAAATCAAATTTTGTTAGTCAAATTCATGGTAAAAGTTAGGCTCAAATTTAAGGGTGGTATAAGAGCATGGCTAATAAGGCCCTTTCCAGTGCTCCACAACCCTGTGCAGTAGGCATAAAATCTGATGTGACAAGTTAATTAAGATGAGAAGAGTAGTATGGTGGCCCCAGGAAGAAACGGTGCTAAGCACATGTGCCAACACAATTTACAGCCTACAACTAATTAAATGAAGGAAGCTTAGCAACAAAAAGCTAAGCACAAATGTATTTGGGAGTTTAGTTGCTAAGCTCTTTCATGCACCTGGCACCTCATCTCATAGTTAAAAAAGGCGCGCCTAAGCGAGCGCCTAAGTGCGCCTAGGCTCCAGGCGATAGCAAAACGCCTAGCGCATAACTGCGCTTAATCTGCGCAAAATTGTGCATAAGCATGTGCTTTGGTTAGAAAAGCACAAGGAGGTGGCAAAACGCACAATTAACTCCTAGGGCTTTTTTGAACTATGCCTCATCTAAGCACCTATGCATTGGAAGAGGCCTAATATAGCCGCCAAGTCACCATGAACTTTTACATGCATTGGTGAGTTTTCTCTTAATACTTGCATGCAATGATTTAATGTGCCTCGAAATCTGAACAGATGATGGGGAGCAATAAAAATGGGACTAACAAAACAGAAAAACAAAAATATTGAGATAGGCCCCTCTAAACCGGAAGCGAGGGAGTACTTGCTCTAATTAACAGCTACATCTGTTGGCTATGGGAGAATCAACTTAATCAGGCATTAAAATGCAACACAATGAAATAGCTGCACTTAGTATTAATGAAAGCTACTCCCTCCGTTCCACAATTATGCCGTGGATCACGACAATAATTTTGGAACGGAGGGAGTACATCTTAAGCTGCCTGGAAAATATTCAATTTACCTTACTCCTTGAGCCACTGTTCCGCACCACCATGCCCTTGGCCTCATCATTTCCCTCAATCACCACAGTATCCATGAACTGCTCAATTATAGAATCTTCCTCCTTGCTGTCAGCATCCTCTTCCTCTTTCTTTGCAGCAAATCTAACCTCACTGTTCTGGCACGATACCTTGAAATTCCTTGCATCCACTACAACCCGCCCGTGCACTCCACGTTCAAAACCTACTTCCCCAACTCCAACCTCCAAGCCAGTTGATTCTGCCAGGAACTTCTTACCTCTATCCCCCCTAACATCCATGTCAACTGAACTGCTAGAAGGTGCTGTCACCTGGTGTTTTTCCTTCATTGGCATCTTACCTAACATCTCAAGCACAATCCCAGCAGAAAGATTCAGCGAGGCATGGCCCTGCCACCTCTGATCACGCTGTGAAATGTCTGCCAAGCAGGGCTCTTGCTGCCGCTGACCTTTGTGTGGTATTCTGGCACCTGTGGATGGATGGATATGATGTTCTCCAATGAGTGTCCTGCCACCTGCAAATTGAAGTATATGCTGATCCCCATGCGGTATCCTTTCAGTAATTCCATGGGCATTTGCACTTGCATTTGCATCAGGTGGCGTCCTTGATAATATGTGATCATGTTGTTGCTGCTGCTGCTCCCTGTACATCATTACAGCAGCTGGACCATGGCTACCTATGATCAATGATGTGTTGCGCTCTTCATGGGGCAGTCTGCCGAGTACTCCCTGGCCACCTGTGAAAGTTGGCATCTCCTGGATTTCAGTATTATGTGTTCTACCGAAGCCCTCTGGGTGGTGATAGTTTGGCTCCCTTTGCTGCTCCCTGTTCTGCTGCATTGCACCAAAAACATCATGCACCTCACGACCGGTAGCCGAATGCCACGCCGTGGCAAACTTAGGAGGCGACGGCTTGCCAAATCCAGGAGGCGGCGCCCCTGACCTTGGCTTCTCCGGCCTGTTCCTCGAGACAACATCCACGGATCGGAATCCGCCTCCTCCACGTTCCGCGTAAGGATCCAACGGCTGCGCGATGCGAGGATCGGAGGACCCGAGCTGCGGTTGAGGAGAGGAGGAGGAGCGCCACGCAAAGCCCCCCACGTGCACATACGGTGGGGAGGAAAACATGGGGCCGACGGCGGCGACGGCGGGGTCGACGAAGAAGTTGTTCGGCTTGGCGAGGGGCTGCGAGGGGTTTTGCTGATGTTGCGGGCGTGGAGAAGAGTTTTGGAGGAGACGGAGGAGGAGGCCACCGTCGAGGGATGCCGACGCCGAGTGCTCAAGCTTAGGGTCGGACGGGGAGGTTGACGGACGGGGCGCGCGGCCGCCGCCGCCCGAAGAGGCGTCGGCCATTGGGAAAGGTGGGGGAGGGGTTGGTGCGCCCCGATGTCTTTCCTGGGTTGTTGTTAGGGCATCTTCAACAGCGTGCATCCGGCTTGTTAAAACGCTCTCAAGACACTTTACGCCCTCCATCACCGGTCACTAAATGTTCGTAGATAGGTCTATATATCCGAATTTCGGTTTTTTTTTCTCGAGAGTACGTCAATGGCGTGTGATAATTTTACAAAAATGTGTGGGCGTTAGCCAACTCGTCCACACGCTTTCATCACCATCCAGCGCCTTTTGCACGAATCTTGGCATAAAAAGGCTGATTTTGTGTGCCACGTAGGACAAGGTGTGTGTGTGGTGTGTGACATAGTTCGCCCACACATTCGATTTGCCACACGGAGGGACCGGTGTGTGGACGTTTAGCAGTTCACCCACACACCAGTTTTCAGTCACGCATAAGGGCTGATGTGTGGGCGTTTGCCATCTCGCCCACACGTCCGCCTCCTCTCCCACACTCAAGCTGCCAGTTGCCATGCGTTTTGCAGTGTACATGGCAACTGCCCTAGTGTGATTGCAAGCAGATGGCAACTCTCTCTTTTTTTACCCAAACATGTCAATTGTCATATGTTTTGCATGGTACATGGCAAACTGCACTAGCATGCACGTAAGCAGATGGCAACTCTTTTTTTTACATGGCAACTGTCCTAACGTGCTTGTGAGCACATGGCAACTCTCTCTTTTACCCGAACATGTTTTTTTGCCATGCCATTTTTTCAGTGCTAGACGGCAACTGCCTAGTGTTAGTAGGTGGCAACTCCTAAAGTTTTGAAATCATGGCAACTGCAGTAGACCAGACCACACATGGCAACAGCTGTAGTTGTCCAAAAAATGGCAATCTGGAAGTTTGACCTGAGATGGCAACTGCAGTTGAGCAGACATGGCAACTGTAGTTGTCCGACATGGCAACCGTAGTTCAGCGACATGGCAACTGCACTTAAACGAACATAGACGAGGGTCCGGCCCATGGCAACTGCGTGCACGCTGTAAAGTGTCACGTGGGGCATGCTGGACCACGAGGTACGAGGCCTGACATACCGCATGTGTGGGCGTTATCTATTTTCGCCCACACGCACGCGTGTAAGAGGGACCGGGAGGAAAAAAAGAGGCGTGTGGGCGCTAATTGTTTTGCCCACACACAAGCGTGTGGACTGGTCCTCTTAGGCACCACAGAAAACGTGTGGGCAGATTTCTTAACGCCCACACGTGTGGCAGTTATCGGGGCCCTATTTTTAGGGTCGCGCTAACTGTCACACGTGTGGCACGAAGGAAGACGCACCACACGTCTCTAATGTAAACAGATTGCCACGTCATCGCATGCATGCATGCAGGAATCTTTTTGAATTTTCAGTTTTAAAAATGTTTTATCTCTTAAACGAAAAATCCGATTGAAAATCCGTTTTCATCATTAAATCCCTCACGATGAGATCTTCGAAACTAGATCTCATGTTGATATGTTTTGATGAAAAAAAATTGATTAAAAGTTACCATGTCTATTGCATATGAATTGCCATGATGTTTACACTGAAGTTGCCATGATATGTTTCAGCTATTTTCTTCTACATTTAAAAGTAAATTTTGACATTTATAAAACGGGGAATTAAGAAACTAGACTTGTCATGAACCATGAACTAAAATTGCCATGATACATGCACGTAAAATTGTCATGGTTCATACAAAAAATAATTTTCATGGTCAAAGTACTGGAGTTGCCATCATCAAAATACTAAAATTGCCATGATCTACAAACTAAAATTGCCACATGGTAACTTTAGTTTAAGCCCTATGACAACTGCAGTGTAAACATCATGACAACTTCTGGCAAAAAAAATTTCGTCGAAACATATCAACATGGGGTCTAGTTTTGAAGATCTCGTCGAGACGGATTTAATAGTGAAAACGGATTTTTAATTCGCTTTTTTATTTAGGAGATACAACATTTTTAAGCCGAAAACCAAAAAAAAAATCTGCTGATGTCATCTATTCATACGTGGCAAAATGAGTGGTGATGGATGCGTGTGGTTGATGTGCAAACGCCCACACGTGTGGGCGTTAACATTTCCGTAATTTTATAGAAGATAGAAGGTTGATATGTACAAGATACCTACAACAGATGCAAACATCTATGTTGGCAAACACCCACACCAAAAAAGAGATCCAGGCCATTATCTCACGAACGGATCTAAACCACCAACACCTAGGCCTGCCGCCATCCAGTTTTTGATCTCCTCAAGCACTTGCACCACTAGCTGCATCGACGTCCTTTGTTGATGAGATTTGTTGAACACCCTCGCATTTTGTTGCTTCCAAAGAGCCCAAGCCGTTCCAATAACGAAGGAGTCAAAGCCTCTCCTGATCCTTCCCGAGAAGTTCTTCCTACACCTCGTCCACCAATCCTGAAATGTCATGTCTGTACTCGAAAGCTCGATGTTCAGCTGAAAATGCCTCGAAACAACGATGCACACTTCTCTTGCATATATGCAATGCGCAAAGACGTGGTCCACATTGTCTTCATCTTGCAGACATGAGTAGCACGCTGATGGCTCCTGCTGTAGTCCATGGCGTGCTCTGCGGTCGCTAGTCCATAGCCGGTATTGGACCATTAGCCAATCAAAGATCTTACATCGCAATGGGGCCCAACTCCTCCAAATACATGTGGCCATTGATGAATCTATCAACCCCATGCACAAGCGGTTGTACACAAATTTTGAGGAGTAGCAACCTGACCCATCAGCAGGTCAAACAAACTGATCCGTCTCTCCATCGCTCAATGGAACTGTAGCCATGGCTTGGCAAAGGTACGCCACCTGCATGTGTGCCATGGAGAGGTCCCCATGCACATCGTGAGTCCATACATTCCCATCAAAAGTCTGTTGCACTGTTCTCTTATTTCGCGCGCGCGATTGCACAAGCTCGACAACTAGTGGCGCAATTTCTCCCACGGTAAACCCATGGATCCACCTGTCCTTCCAAAATAGTTCGTTGGCGCCATTTCCCAGAACTATCTTGACCATGCTGTTGAAAACCATGCTAGCATCCTTGTCTTCGATCATACGCAACCCATGCCACGGCCTTGCCTGATCAACCCTCTGCGGCCATTCCCATCTTACTCTTTGTGCGATCACTTGCAATCGGATGTCCTTGATCCCTAGCCCACCGAATAGAGTAGGGCGACAAACGGTGTCCCAAGCGACGAGGCATTGCCCGCCATTTACTTTGTCTTTACCTGCCCAGAAAAAAGACTGCATCCACTTGTCAATATCTTCATAAACCCACTCTGGAGCGTTGAGGGCCATGAGTTGATGAATTGGCCTTGCCGCGATCACAGACTTGGTCAGAATCAGGCGACATGATCGTTGAATGAGTCCACGTTGCCATGCCGGGATAAATTTCCTGACCTGATCTAGAAGAGGTTGCCAGTCTGCGCGTGTCAGGGCTTTGATCGCCAGCTGGATACCCAAGTATCTGCATGGGAAGTTTCCTATCTCGCAAATCGCAATGCAAGATATCCGCGACTCTTTGTCTATCCTCCTCGGTGCCACGAATGAGAACTGCCATCATTTTCCGGTAGTTTATCTTCAATCCAGATGCTTCACCAAATAACTCCATCACTTCTCTGACAAATGTTAGGTCAGGCACCGTTGGCTTGATGAACATCGCTACATCATCGGCATAGAGAGATAGTCTCTCTGTGTGGGACTTGCCGCGGATTTCACTGATCATTCCTTGTTCGCACGCTTTAGAGAACAAAGTCGTGAGTGCGTCCATAGCAATCACAAATAGTAGGGGGAGATCGGATCACCCTGCCTAAGACCTTTAGCGTGGTAGATAGTTCGGCCAGGCACTCCATTGACAATCACTTTGGTGCTAGCTGTGGAAAGGACGGCCGCCACCCACGTAAGCCATCTGCTGCCGAATCCTTTGGCTCTCATCACCTCGAACAAGAATGGCCATGATAGTGAATCAAATGCCCTCGAGATATCCAACTTGAGGAAGAGGCCCTTCTCCTTCCTTTCGTTAATTTTCCGTGCCATCTGTCTGACTAGTAGGTAATTGTCATGGATATTTCATCCCTTAATGAATGCAGACTGGTTGATATTGACAATATCTTGCATCCTCATGCGCGCACGCATTGCCAAGACCTTGGTGAATAGCTTTGAGAAGCTCTGGGGTAAACTGATCAGCCTGTAATCTCCAACGGCAATGGCATCCACCTTTTTTGGAATAAGCACAATGTGCGCCTTATTCAACTTTCCAAAACCCCTACTGTCCCCAACATATAGCTTATGCATTGCATCCATTATATCGGGCTTAATCACACTCCAAGCTTTATGGTAAAACGCGCCGATGAAGCCATCCGGTCAGGGTGCCCGATCAGGGGGTATTTCCTTTATGACATGCCATACTTCCTCCTCCATAAAGATACCTTCCAAATCTGCGAGGTCTAGTGCTTCCAAGCCCAGGAAGTCTAGGTCAATCGAGTGCCCACGACCATGTTCCGTGCCCAGCAGGTTGTCGTACACCTCCGTGAACACCTGCTCCTTTTGGGTTTGGTCAGTAATGATGTTTGATCCGTGTACAACACTAGGGATAAAATTCTTTGTACGCCTGCCATTTGCCATGGCCTGGAACAGCTTGGAATTGGCGTCTCCCTCTCTAAGCCATATAATCCTGGACTGTTGTCGGTCTATGGTTCTTTCCATGGACGCAAGGCCGAGCAGTGCCAACTTGAGCGATCTCCTTAGACAAAGCTTAGAGGTTGAAAGCGTCCTAATCTCCTGTACTTGGTCGAATCTGAAAATGACCCAGTTTGCCACGACCATCAGCACCTTAATGTTCCCAATACGGTGCTGCCTCCATGCCTGCAAGTAATCCACCGTATTCCTGAACAAAGTATCCAGCCTTTTGTACGTGTCTACAATGCTCTCATCACACACCCACGCCTCCCTAATCGCCTCTTCAAAGCCTTCCAACTTTGTCCAGTAAAGTTCAAACCAGAATCTCTTCTTGGGTGAGTATTGCATGCTAGTAGATAAGTGCAGCGGGGCATGGTCAGAAACACTTGAAGTAATGGCTTGTAGTAGGTG